GGAAGGCGGGTGGGGAGAACACCCCGGTTACAAGGACCCCCCGGGCGGGGAGACATGGGTGGTTTACTATCCCCAGCAAACACCCGAGGACCCTGTCCAACCTAATGGTTTCGCGGCTTTTAAACCACCCGCATTGTGCAAGGGGGGCCTTGTGCCTTGATTCAAGTCCACGGGGAGCGGAGCGGCCCCGGCTGGCAAATGAAACAATTTCCTCACGGGGGGGGCCACCGCCCTGAGACTCAACAAGGCGCGCCACCGGAACACACCCGCCATCGCGGGCACAGCCGCATCTGAGGAGTTCATTCGCCCGGTGAGACGGGAAACGCATGGTGACCCGATAAGACCCCTCCCCACCAAGGGCCAGGCCGAGTGGGCGAGGCCCCCCGGTGGCACCGGCGGCGGAAGCGGTGGCGCCCGTGTAAAGGCTTGACCCCCCCCGGAATTCCGCCCGGGGGGGGGGGAGAAAAAAACCCCCGCGGGGGGGGGGGTGGGGGGTCTCGTCTCGTCTCGTTCTCTCTTTCTCTCTCCCCCCTCTCTCTCTCGCTCTCTCGCTCTCTCTCGTCTCGCTCTCCTTAGCTCTCTCTCTCGTCTCTCTCTCCTTAGTCTCCCCCCCCCCCCCTTCTCCCTCCCTCTCTCTCTCTCCCCCCACTGTGGATCCACTGTCCAAAGAGAAGAAATTGCGATCGAGGGTCGCTGTTTTTTATGTGCCCCCTGTGACCTGGTACGCTCCTCTCCTTAAAAATCTATGTGGGGTGGCGGCGTGCCGTCCTCCCCTCCCTGCCCTGGGGTTGCCTGTTTTTGGAGATTGTTGATGCTTTCCTCTTTCCCTTTACGTAAAAAGTTCTTCGTAGTTGACCGAAATCTTCTTATTCCACGCGTCGGCCGTCCACCCCGCTCGTGGGGGGGGGGCTAGCTCTCGTCTCCCCTGGAAGAGGGGGGGGGGCAGGGCCCGGATTCGCCGACGGCTCCGCCTCTCCCTCCCCCCGCTCCGCACCAGGCCGTAGGCTGCGCAGTAGCCGCGCCGCCTCCCCCCTCACCCGGTCCCTCTCGATTCGGTCCCGCACCGACCGGATATCAGGCATAAGTGTGGTTCTTGCCCATGCATTGCATTTTTTGCATTCGCATGCATCGCCTGCATTACAACTGCATTACAACTGCATTCGCTGATTGGCGTCGGGGCGGCTGACGGCGGACGGCGGCGCCTCCGCGCTGTTCATCGATAGCCTGGAAGGCTACCTCGAGTGCGCCCGGCTGCTCCAGCAGGCTGGCGCGGCAGTCAACCAAGCCGACAAAAGAAACCAACCTTTCCCAAGGGTCAACACCCCCCGAACCCACTATCAACGAAGGCGCTCTAAAAAAAAAGCGCTGAAAAAAAAACTCAGTTTGACCGTTTTATTTATTTATTTATTTATTTTCCCAATGCGCGCCAGACCCGTGCCCTAGCGACTTTTGTGAAATTCTTCTTTCTACGGCGGCGAGTGTGCCGTCGGGGAACCAATGGAGGTTGCAAGCAGCAGGGGGAGCCTAGGGGGACGTGTGATGCCAGCATCATTTTGTACCCACCCTCGCCCCCCCCTAGTTCGTGGGGACCCCCCCGCCGGTCGGTGGTCTGCCCCCGAGGTGGACCGGACCCCCCCTCCGGCAGATAAGCCTCTCTCAGGATCACAGACACCTCTCCCACCCAACAAAACAGACACCCCTCTGTGATCTCCTGAGTGCTGAGAGGGTGGGTGTCTGTCGTGTGATCCTGAGCCGCCCCTGCCCCATTTGGCTAGGGCTGCAGAAGGCCAGAAGCAGCGTTTTCTTCACACGGCGATCGCGGAGCTAAGCCGTGGAAGAAAGAAGACAGAAAACGACAGCCCAAGGGAGGGATGGGAGGACGGCACGCCGCCACCACACAAGCTAAGCCGTGGGAGGAGGGATCAGGATGTCACGAACTCTTCTTCTTGTGGCCCTTTGTGGTGCTAGTCCGTGCCAGTCTTCTGAGAGAGAGATTTTTGAAAACCAACAAGAAATCACGACTCTTGTCTGCTGTGAGAGGGGCTGTTCGAGAATTCTTTTACCCCGCTGCGCCCCGCCGTCAAGGGCTGGCGAGTAGAGACCACGCCTCACTTTTTTCACACCGGGGTCCTTTTCGCTGCGCATGCTCGAGCCCCCGGCGAGGGCTTGTGATGTGAATCTCCCCCCATCCCAGGGCCTCCAGGGCTCGCACCTCAACCTCTCATAGACCAGCGCATAGCTCGGACGTATTTTCTTCTCATAGCAAGGCTGTGAATAGCAGGTCTGTGCTTGTGCGTCTTGGGTCCGGAGTTGTGCGTTTATGTGAATAGCAGGCTTGGCTCTCCTCGGGCCCCCCAAGGGTGTGGCGACACCCGCCGGTTCTTCCCGGTGCTGCCTGCCCCGCGGCCGCGCACGCCGCAGTCACATGGCGTCGAGCGACGAGGAGAGCGACGAGGAGGAGTCCACTCAGCTGACATCCGCGCCTATCGTCCTGCCGCTGCTCGGGCTCGCGGCCGGCCCTGGCTCGGAATCGGACGACGACGAGGCAGACAGCGCGGAACCGGGTTTGCCCGCCGCTTCCGCTGGGGGCGCGGCGGCCGCCGCGCCCGCGCCACACCCAGGTAGCAACGGCAGGGACAAGAGCGGCGCGGCGGAGGGCAGCGAAGCGGCCGCCGTCGCGCCAGCACCGGAGGCTTCCAGCCAACTCCTCTCCGTCTCTGACGCTCTTGGCGAGTCGGGACCTGACTTTTTGCGCGTTGACGCGCCCGACTTTGACGCATCGGCGGGCTTCAAGCCGCCCCCCGCGGAGCTCGAGGCGGTGAACCAGCCCTTTGGTCCGCGCAAGACCGGCGCCAGGAGCGGCGGGAGCTGGCTGGCGGCTGGCTCTGGCAGCACGCGTGCCGCAGAGGACCAACGGTATGCGTCCGAGTTCAACTTTGGGCGGCTTCCGGGGCAGGTGCGGGTCCGCGGCTCAATGTGCTACGAGAATGACGACGAGCGCGGCCGCCGCGTCCGGTACGGCGCTCACGCGATGCTCGCCGCCGACCCTTGGTCGGCTTGCAACCCCAACTTCGCCTTTGATGACGCCTCCGTGACGCGAGGCAAGGACCGGAGCCACAAGAAGCAGCGGGGAGACGGCAATCAGCGTAACCAGCCTGCGCGCGCGTCATTTGTCGGCTCCAAGCGCGGCTGAGGGGATGTCGATCGACTTGCCAAAAACGTAGTGCAAAAACAGGACCCGAGACAGTGAGACGGGGGCTGTGAGTGACATGACTGTGCTCTGTGGACACACACACTGGCAGTGTCACTGTTTAAGTGTAACACACCGGTCACTGCCGTTGCGGGCAAGAGAGCCCTATAGCCCTGGGGCGGGTGGGGGAGGTGCGCGTGCACTCGACTCTGGGGGGAGGCGAGGGCCCTAGGGGGTACCCATGCGGGGGGGAGATGGGGTTCCCCAGCCCGCCGCAGGCGCCGATTTTTTTGGCATTTTTTTCGCGCGATTTTTTACTTGTTTTTCATGGGAATTCGGCGTCTTGCGGCCATGCTATCACGCCTTGCGACATCCTTTCGGCGCTGCTGACCGTGCCATGCTGCTCAACTGACCGCCCGCATAGCTCGCGGCCTTAGTCTTCGGCATTCAGTGACGACCTGATCGTACGGCCAGTAGGAAGGTGTCCTTCCAGCTGCGTGCACGCTTCTGGCGCAATGCGCGTCACCTCGGATTGGCTGCTGGCACTCTCGAGGCTATGCCTACACAGCCTCGCGCGCATGGGCAGTCAAGAGGGACCACGCACCTTCTCAGGACAGCGCCGGTGCCTCTCTCTTGGACCGGCAAACGTGGTGGTCTCGTGTCACCGATGTGGGACCAGTGCGGCATCGCGCCATCGACAGCTCTGAACTGCGCCTCACCACTGACCGGGAAGGCCGCCAAGTGGGTCAGCACCGGTCGCACATTGTGGCAGCAGTCAGCAGCGCATGTCTGATAGCTAGAGCAGCAGCGTCAGGGTCGCAGGGTCGGATCGTGTCAAGCCTCGGAGACTAACGGAGCCGGAGCCCCGTTTCCGCACTGCTGCGCGGCGCACGGTGCCTCCGGGGGCCCCCGCCTCCCCCCAGAGGCACTCGATCTCGAAAGGTGTTGTAAAATTCTTTCTTTTCTTTGCGAACCGCTGAGACTCGAGAATCCTGACGGATTTACAATACATGAAGGTACTACCAATTTCGAAGGCGCGTGTGCCCGGACAAGCAGATCGCGGGGGCAAGCTCTTCCCCACACGACGAAACCTTCTCACGACTGTACGCCGAAGTACGCTCAGAGTTAACCCCTTTCAGACAATGCGAAATCGAGCGCGCGCCAAACTCCAGGTATCTAAACTCTTCATAGATTGCTTTCACTCGTCGACAGCCCACTTGGAGCACTTGGAGTGCAGTCATCAACCTCACGCCCAGGAGACCGGGGAGCTAAGAAGCGCACCCAGTTGGCCAGACGATTGGTATCGGATTGCGGGCTAGAGAGCCCTGGCCCTGGGGGGTGCGCGGTCGCAGGGCCATACCGCGCTCAGCGAGGTATTGCCTGCAGGCTTTGCGGCTCCGTTCGATCTCTTCAATCGCTAGCCAATTTTCAAGGAGCCAGCCGCGGCACGCTCGCTCACGCAGCAGCGCATCTCGCTGGGCGCCATTCGCACCTCCCGCGATTTGCGGGTCGGTAAGCAGACGGTGGTAAAGCTCGGTGGCGAGAGGCCGAGTAGCCGAGGTGGTCCCGCGGCTCCACCTCGACGAGCATGCCCCACACGCTCCGCATGACCTTGGCCAGGGCGGCGAGGAGGCTGTTATGGCGGCCGCAGTGCCCGAGGCGGCCGATGTTGCTGGCCGCGTCGCCCATTGGGTCCATCTGCGAGCCCGAGCAACTCATCGCAAAGAAGCGGCGCAACAGGCTGGCTGCTGCCGACAAGGCCGTGTGCTACCTTACGCGAGGCACCTTCAAAGAGGACAGCAATGACGCTGGATTCATCGACACGCGCTGGGTGGAGCTCGAGGAGCTGTACGAGAACTGTGGCAAGACGCCGCTCAAGAATGCGCTCAAGAAGTACCGAAAGGCGGAAAAGGAGGATGTGGATGCGGCGATTGCCGACTTTGCGTTGAGGAGGGCGTCGAGCACGAGCGATAATAATGAATAGGCGCATTTGGGATGCATGGCTGGGGACGCCCTGGGACATGTTCGCAATCGCAGCTGCGGGTGTGAAGTGAATATGCTAGATGTGTCTCGACCAACCCTCGTAGTACACGGTAACCAGTTACCGTACTCCGTAGCCTGCGCGCGGCGCGGCCGAACCCGCGACGATACCCACAGCGGGCGCCGGGGCCGGGGGGCGCGCGAGAGACGACAGAGGAGCAGGAGGCCGAGGCGCAGTCCCACTCTCACCCCGTGCCCGTCTCCCCGCGATATGTGTAGGCTGTAGCTACGGAGCGCGCGCCGCCGCGCGTGTTATACTAGTAGAGAGTAACGTAGTATGGGAGGGGGGCCTGAGGCAAAACAATGTGATTGTTTTAAGCAGCGCGGCTATTAGCACCGGCGCTAGCCGAGCTATACCCTAACACTGCTCTACTCTCCAGCCAGCTATGCGCATTGCTACGCGCGTTCCTGCTCTTCATCAGAGCGTTGATGATAGCCAACCGATCGCCCGGAGCCTGGATATCGGCCGCCACCAGTAGACTGTTGATCAGCAGGGTGTCAGGAAGGACGTCCTTGAGGCCCTCGAGCGAGAGCTTCGCGTCCTCCAGCTTCGTCGCAGCCTCGCGCAAGGCGGTCGTATTCAGCAAGTCGGACAGGGTGTCCAGGTCGTCGTCCGAGCCGCTGGTTCCGTTGCTCGAAACGTGCTCAACGCACATGTAAGTAACGGACGCGGCGATCAGCATTGCCACAAGAATCGCGGGCCCAAACTCGTCGACGTATCCCGAGGTGTCCCTACGGGCCAGCTTCGAAGCTCTTCGGTAGAAGTTCAAGAGCGCATAAATGACAAGAGCGGAAGCCGAAGCGAGCACCGCATACCCGACCGATTTGGTGCGTCCTCCCGCCCCGGTGTCCATAAGGGCGAGCCCAATCGAAAACAGGAGGACACCGACAGAAATCCACTGGATGAAGGTACGTTCGAGAGCAAAGATCGTCTTCGGGTCGACCGGGCGAGCTAGTGGAGCGGTGGGGGTGGCGCTTCGATTGTCCGAAGCAGACCGCGAGCTCCACCTCGGGAGCCATGCGGTTCGTGTCGCACCAGAACCGGAATTCTTGCCCTCGGCTGCGCTATAGCCAAGCTCGGCCCTGTCCAGCGGCTCGGGAGCTCGCTTGCGGCACGCCCATCGGCACAACAGCATGCGACGCGGCTCGCTCCCGGCGTACATTGGATGTGGCGACACATCGTGTTGCTCGACTCGAGGTGCGAGGCTGTCAATGCGCGGATCGACTCGAGCACCACTGCCCAACGGCGCACCTGTCACTGCGCCTTCGAGCGAGTCGCCGCTTGCGCTGCAGCACGCCTTGAGCCCGAGTGCCGCAACGAGAGTTGGCTCATCCAGCCACGAGGGCCGCACCCTCACCTTGCGGGGGAAGAACGACGCGCAGCCGGTCAGGTACTTTGAAAACTTGTTTGCCGGGGTGAGTAGGCCCGTTGCCAGGAGCGCCTCCACCCACTGCGGTGTCTCACACTGCAGCTTCACCTCGAGGACGGTGAAGGGAAAGTGGATCACGTCGCCGCAGCCAAGCAACGCATCGAGAGGATAGCACCAACCGCCATCTTCGCCGGCGGATCTCTCCCGCACCAAGGAGAGGCCGGAATCGATCGTCACGCGAACCGCGTTCGAGTCAGCGCGCTGAAAGGCGCAGCGGCGGTAAACGGTGCGCACAGTGGGCTGCAGGCGAAGCCGAACAACCTCCGCCTGGATGTCGGCACCAAGCTCCCTTGTTGCGCGCGCCTGCTCCTCGCGCAGTCGGCCACGAGCAACCATGCGTGCCACCTGCTCGTCGATGTCGCATGCGCCGCGCAGCAGCGCACCCACGGCCAGGGCTTCCAGCGGGAAGCGCTCCTTGGAGCTCTGGCTCCCAGTCCACCGCTGCCCGCGATGCGTCTTCCGCTCGACAAAAACTACGTCCTCCTCTCCAGCGGACAGGCCATACCACCGGAGGCGGTAGAGTCGCGCCCCTTCGCCACGAACGATGCGCTCGTGGTACAGGGAGAGTTCGGGCGAGTCGAGGTAGAGCGACGAGACTGTGCCGTGTATCGCGTCGCCCGGCTCGTTAGCTCCACCTTGCGCCTCCTTAGCTTGAGTTTGGAGCAGGAGACTCGCAGTGCTCTCTCGAGTGGCGCCCGCAGGCGGCCTGTGCATAATCAAGACGGGGATCTGCCGGAGGATTTTCACCATGACAGCAGGCACGTCCTCGGGCTTGACCCAGTACTTGTCGGTGCTTCTCTCAAACTCTGTCGGCGGCCGCCACGGCCCCGCTGCGTCCGCCCTCGGCTTTCCTCCATTCGATTCTTCGTCTCGCCGCTGGCGCAGGAGGGAGTGTACATCCGAAAGGAGGGAGAGGAGCGCATCCAAGGCCGGCGGCGACGAAAACCCCTCCTTCTCCAGTCGCTCCTCAAGCCAGGTCTTTGCAGAGTCACCGTTGCTACTGACCTTATCCACCTTTTTGCAGATCTTTCGGAGCGCCAGAATGTTGAGCCGCGCGAAGCGATCCAACTCCACCATCGAGTCGCCAACAGCGTTGGCGTCGAGCGCCATCTCGCGAAGGCCAAACGCCTCTCGAAAGTCGTGCAGGTCGGGCGTGTGGCGGGAGAGAGAGAAGAAAAGCTGCGTTAACGTCGCCTCGAGCGCTTTGAGCGACTGACGAACGAACTCGATGACGGGTTGAAAAAGAGGGGTCCCGTACCATGCGGAATGGACCCTTTCCCTAAGTCTTTCCCTGTGCTCAGTGCTCGAGATCCTGTACCGACTACCGTGTGTTTTTACGGCTTTTGAACCCCCCCCCCCCCCCATGAACACACCAGCGAGGGAGGGCAAGACGATCGAGGGGTTCCCGTACCATGCGGAGAATCGACCCTGTCCAGTGGAATCCAGTGCTCAAGTGTGCTCAAGTGCTCAGTGCTCAGGGGACAGGGCCTTGAGTCGGGGTATGAACATATGTATCCGGGGAGCGGGGTAGCGGTAGGCAGCCGGTGCAGGTCTTTTCTCAGACCCGTGCAGTCGCAGGAACGCGCAGGTCTCAGGTCCCCGCATACTCTTAACGTACAGTCTCAGTAATACTCAGGTCGTTTCTTACTTTCAGACTCACAATCACATCTTCAATGGGCTCACCGGAGCGCGCGCCCGTCTCGGTGTCAGGGAACACACCGCTCACGCGCTCACCGGGCTGCGCTTACACGACGACACGTCGCGACACGTCCCCCGCCTACTCCCGATCAGCACACGATTCCTCCGGCTCCTCGCTCACGCACATTGAGCGCCTCCGCCACAGTCACTATCTCCGCACACGGGCGAACTGCACGTAGCAGTCTGGCATGCTGGCCGGTGTGCCACACGCTGTGGTTGTGTGCCGCCCGCAGGCCCCGCTCCAACTCACAGCACTCACAAGCCCCTTTCTGCTGCCACCGAGCAGAGCGGCAGAGCCCCCCCCCCCCCCCTCCGGCGGGGGCTCTTTCCCTGCCTCCCTGCCGCTAGCGCATCCCAAAGATGGAGAAGACGTGGATCGTGTTCCCCTTGAAGTCGGCCATGTACAGGTACTGGTCCGTGGCGGAGAGGCTGCGTGGCTCCACGTTGGGCTCGCGCGGGTGGAGGATCTGCACCTGCACCACCCGTGCGCTGCTGCCGGAGTAGACGCCGTTCCCTACCGCGAGACCACGCGCGGTGATCGAAGCCCCCGCGTGCCGCCTCGCTTGCATGGGCGGGGGCCCTCGTCGATTGCGAGCACGCGCAGCCGCTTCTGATCGCGCTGCCAGTCTGCGCGCCGCGCCTCGTCGGACGGGCGGCCTGCTCGGGCAGTACAGCCGCTGTGAATTAAGGAACACTTCTCGGGGAGTCTGATTACATACGAACAAATGAACCCAGTGATTCATATTCATCAGATGAGCC